TGATCAATACTTGAGATCTGGATTTTTAGGAAATTGTTTATGTAAGAACTTAACAGACAAAAAAAATTGTTCTCCAATAAGTCAATGTAACATTTTAGTTATAAATTTCATGATTATATGGCAACGAGAAGGTTGTTACAAATCTTATGTATCTTACTATTGCTATAATTGATAAATATTGAAGTTTTTTCAATTTTTTCAGTCATAAATATACTTATCAATAATATGAAACAATGTAAGTTAAAATTATGTCACATATATCCAATAAAAAATTACAATTTGCTATAATTTTCAACCGGTACTTAAATACTCGATCTACGGCTCTGCAAGTGAACACTTTTAACGACCTTTCGCCATCTAGCGGCTGTAAGAGAACTTTGAGGTAATATAAAGTAGTCTAATTTGAATAATAGAAAATGGATCCAATATTTGGGAAATTAGATCTTATATAATAATTCAGCTTTATAGATTTTACTAACATTAAAAAAAAAATAATTTTTAACGAATTATTCTTTCTAACATGGAAAATCTTACAGATAAATGATTGAAGATCGATGCAGATATAATTGATCACGATTCCAATTAAACAAACCTTTATTAAAACCATTCAAAAAATCATCTCAAAAATTTTGTAAGAAAAATTACAGTCTAAAAAATGTTGCGAATTGATTTATATACAAGCTTGCGAAGTGTATGATTCAACTATATATTTGAATTCAATTACTTTAATGTTGAATATTGATGAATCAGAAAATAAGTTTTTCGTATACTTGAGTTTATATTTGAGATTTAAGAATCTTATTTTATCAAATGGATTAAATTAAATTGATCAAATTTCGGTGTATAAAAAATCTTGATTATTCGGGAAAAAATTAATTTGCCTGATCATATATATTAATATATTGAATTATTAAAACTATAGTGTGTCACTAAAATAATACAATTCTAGAAATGATAAGACAGTTATTAATAGGTAATCTAACTCCTTCAAATGTATGTAATTTATACATAATTGTTATTTATAGAATGGAACTTTAACTAATTTGTAAAAATTTGAAAATGTATAATTTAATAAAATAACTATCTTATTTTTATTTCAAAAGATACTTAATTACTTTACCTCCCGTTCTGCAAGTGACAACTATAGACAACTTATCACCACCTAGCGGCTGTCAAGGTACTTTTGACGAGATGTGTCTACTTCAATACACATAACGTATGATTTTTTACGACCAAATAAGTCCCTTAATTTGTATAATGCAAAGGAGCTCAATTTCAAAAAATTTTATTGATCATTATAATAATTTTAAATTTTTGAATTTGTCTGATGTTCTTCACTGTAGAATGAATGTCATCAGTTTTTATTGAATACTTATAAAAACTAAGTGAAAATAATATAAGCCACTTAAAATCACAATTTAACTTTAGGAAAACGTGTTTAAGTTAACTTTTATCAAAAATTGGATGACAAGGGTAAAATGCTAGGAAAAATCGGAAAACTAATACTATCGACATTTAAGATTGAAATGATATTCATAGGGAAAATGAAATTTTGTCAGGAAAGGATTTACATCGATGAGAAAAATCTTATGTAAATGCTCCTGTTAGAATAATAATTTATTTTCGAGAAATATCAAAACTTTTGTAAAAATTTATAACTTTTGGATAAGATGAATCCCGAGACACAAGATGATAGGAAATTTTAGCAAGTCGAAAATTCAATCAACAAATTAATGGATCCAAGAAACAGAGAATTAAACTGTTGGAAACCACATGCATAAATTATTCCTAACGAAGTCTGCAGAATAGCTATTATTAATAAATAAAAATTCTTGATCACGAAAGCAATTGCTAGCTATTTAAAATTTTTAATATCAGTACAATTTTAACTTGTAAAAAATTATTTAATCCATGAAGAGAAAATCAACTAACTAAAAAAAATCTTTAAATAATACTTAATAACTTTTTTCCACATCTCTGTAAATGAAAACTTTAGACTACCTCTCGCCACCTAGCGGCTGGCGCGGAACTATTGATAGACGCTTTTTACGATAGAAAAATCGTAAGTTTTTTTTTTTCGTTCGTAAATAAATCTTTAGGTTATATTCCAATGAAAAATATCAACCTAGATAATTTTTTTAGTTGAAATTTGACGAATATTAAATGAAAAAATTAATATGTTCTGAGAGAATTTTATGGTACCTTGTAAAATGATTAGAATTTTTAAATTTTAATTTTAATTGAAAAAAGATTTTTTTATTTTGTACTATTAAAAATTACTTGAGATAAAGCTATGTAGGACAAAACATCCGCGTAGACAATATTTGATAAATTAAGAAATTTCTTAGCTTAATCGAAAGAAAACTTCGATTTTTGAAACGGCCTAAAAAAAAACTTGAAATAAAAGTTTCGTTTCGTACTTTGTCAATTGTAACTAAAAATAAAATAGATTATCCCGAGTGCTAAGCATAAATATTCAACAGGAACTTGAAAATTAATAAATTTAATGATCCTGAAAAAATGTTGATAGACATCAACGTCATGCAAGACGAAGGTAAATGGACTGTAGTTCATGCAATTGGTTTTTTTGTTAAAAATTGATAATTCTTTAGAGAGTTTTTCGGTTTATTATACTGATGATTTTAAAAGTAAGGTTTTATTCTTTCTTATCTTAGTCTTTATCACAGATAAAGAGGAAACGGAAAAACTTGAGTTAATGTTTGAGGTTTAAGAATTTTATATTGTTATTTAATTAAATATTTTTTAAAAAATTTTATTGCATTGACAAGCAAAATCGAATAGAATAGATTTTCAAGACACAGTATCGTTAAAGATTTGGATTAATTCAACCGGTGTAGTAAAAATATAAAAAAATTTTCGATTGATGAAAAAATTTTGTTGAATAAGCGAGATGACAAATTCAATCCAATTCAGAAAAATTAATTTCTAAATAAATTTAACAATTGAGAATTTATTCTACACTTTTGAAAAAATCCTGATCATAGGATAATTATTAATAAGTAATCTAAGTCTTGTAAGTGTATGTAACTTACAAAAGAAAAAACTTTGCATCATTGTATAAAAAAAAAAAACCCAGCGTCAATAATTTTTTTGTTAAATATTTAACACTTTTAACTGTAAATTTACCATTTATTCTGTTAAATCAACACGTGTATATATAATTGTAATTTATCCAATTGAACTTTAATTAATATGTGAAGATTTAAAGATGTATCATGTAAAAAGATAATTATTTTATTTTTATTTTAACAGGTACTTAATTACTTTACCTCCCGTTCTGCAAGTGAGAATTATAGGCGACTTCTCGCCACCTAGCGGCTGTTCAAGGTACTTGGACTTGATATGCTCACTTTAGTAAGAATAAAGAATGATTTCTTTTCGACATAATGACTCATATAATTTGCTTAAATTTAAACAATACAATTTTATTATTAATTATCAAAACAATTTTTTAGATCTGGTCATGTTCAATTGTATTAGTAGCTGTGTAACAGCACCACTTGGAAAATTATCAACTTAATGGCGTTAGTTTTGTGCAATTGCTACAGTTGTTATAATAATTATTTTTGTCAATTATTATTGATTTTTTTTTGGGTTGCAATTGCTAACACATCAATGGTGTAGTCATTTAGCAGTCTTTCTATTAAGTTACTGTACTATTTATAAGTCATCTTGTTATCCATTACAAATTTATTATATACTAATTGCTGTAAATATCAAAATCCTGTTAATGGCTTAAGCTGTTGGGTTTGTTTAAATAAGTAAATAAATAATAAGTTACTTAATTTGTATATAATGCTAATAAAGGTCAATTATCACAAATGTGATTGATTGTTAAAATTTTTCTTATTCTTTAAATGGATTTGTCTGATATTCATTATAGCATAAATGTCATCAGTTGTCAGCGAAATCTAATGAAAACTAAGCAAAAATGTTATAAAATATTTTAATTATTATGAAAATTAAGTTAGCTGACATATAAAAATTTTTAGAATTTTTTTTATTGAAAAAATAATTACAAAAAAATAAAAAAAAAATTTTCACTTGTAAAAAAACTTCAAAAACTGTAAGTGCAATTTTTAAAAAATATTTTTTTGTTCTAATTTAATTATTAAAAATAAAATCAAAAAACACCAAAATAATATTTATTTAGTCACGCTGTTTAATTGTACCGTTACGAAACACGTGTTCTAAATATAAAAATACTAGAATATACAACTTGATTCAGAAAAAAATTTTTGAACTAAAAATTTGGATGAAAATGATTTTCTTGAGTGCTAAAAATTGATTCTTAAGAAAAAAAATTATTATTGACCCAAGAATAAATAATAATAAAAATAGTTACCGAAGTGAGGCGAGAAAAAGTCGGAGATTAATTTTAATAATAAAAAATTTTTCTAATTTTAAAAAATCAAGGCAAATTTCAAAGTTGAAAATTTTCTATAAAATTTTTTGGTTTTTGATGATATTTAATAGAATTGTTAAAAAAACTGAGGCTTTGTCAAGAAATACTTAGTTAATTGCTCATTGTCATTAATGTTCAGGATAAAGTCACTTTATACCAATTATTTTTAATGAATCGTGTATTTATATTGTGTTTATGACAAGAAAGTTCTAGAATTCGGCCATTAATTTAATATCACATTTAAAAGTGAATTCTATGATTTTTTGAGCTGGCTCATGAATAAATTTGATTAAAAACAAACAAATTCGATTTTCTGATCTTCATTTCGTTCCTGATGTTCATCATTATTGTAAATACCTTCAAACAAGAATTAAAAACCCACTAATTAGTAATTAATCTCTGAATTTGATAATTGATGATAATTCAGTCCAACCTACGTCATTAATTAACGAAAATTGATAGCGTATTATTCCAAGATGGTTCAAAATCAAAGCTCGTATTGTAGTTGTTGGGGTGATTGATATAAAAAGTGCTGGTGGATTATATTCAGCAGTAGTCGTACTAACGCATCAAGATGAAGTTCATCCTCTTGTTGTTGGTAAGTTTTTTCTCTACAAAATTATTGAAATTTGTTTGTACAAGTATAATAACCTTGTTTCTTCCTCGAGTTTGTTGCTTTATCCGCAACATCTTCGAATTGCCAGTTCTATGGGGGGTTCTATCAATACCCTGGCCCAAGTATGCAAGCCCCTCCAGTAGGACCTCCAGCAGGACCACCCGGACAGTGGAACTATCAACAAACTTACGAAAACTACAACAACAACCCAGGAAACCCCGGGAACCAGTACCCTGGTTTCACCTCAGATTCTTTCTACAATCCGAATTTCCAGAAAGATCCATCAGTTCCAGAAAAGAAAACATACATGAATTACAACATGGAAGCTAACTACCATGTAAGCTCCGAGGATGACCCGAATCTGACAAAGGATCCGTACAGATCATATCAGGCGAGTGTTGACGTCTCTCATTTTAAAAACGAAAAAACTTATTCGTATGGACAAAATGAGTAAGGATTCAGAAAGAGGGACTGAATAGTTATTGAAGGAAAGTTTAATGATATTTAGTGTTGATCTGTTGTTTGTACTTGATGTAACTGGAAATTTAGTTGGTAATAAACTGAAACATTTATCTGATTTGTTTGTCACTAGCATTTTTTTTGTGATCAGTAATTAATGTTGGTATCAGTGATTAATGATCTGATCATCATTATCAGTGGTTAATGATCAGATAATCAGCATCAGTGAATACTTGATCAGTGATCAGTGATCAGAACTAGTATCTATGATTGCTGATCAATCGATCAATATTAGTTAATAATAAATGAGTTATGCATAAAAAATCACTGACTATAGTATGAGCATCAGTCATTTCTGATCTGTATCAGTACTGATATTAATCATCACTTATTAAAATCAGTATTAGCTTTTTAGTTTAGTTTACTTTATTATTATGCCAGGCTGATTGCCGAATAGCAAGTGTTTAGTACAAAAGAATAATAGCGTTGTAAGTACAGATATAAAACTATAACTAAGATACAATATTTGTAATTTGTATAATTAGCGTAATGATTTCAGATATAAGAGTGTTTGACACATATATATTGTTTACAATGTTTATAATAATTATAGCATTTATAATATTTACAATTTTTACAGTAATTATAGTAGATTTAACTAAGGATATATATAGCTTATTAACTTATTTATAAATTTAATATTAATCAAAATCTGATTTCAATAAATGATCAAGTCGGGCCGGCTTAAAGCAATCAAGACTACTTGAGTTTATAAGATTTGTGGGTAAATTTTGCCACAAACGTATAACCGATACAACAAATGAATTTTCATAAAAAGACGAGGTATAGTTCGGTATTTCGAAATTTACATTATTAATTTTTTCAGCAAGTCTCTGAGAACGGCGAGACGAGTCTTCAACAAATAACTCTCTTAAGTAACTTGGTTGACCCGTATGTAGCAGTTTGTAAAAGAAGGTGGCTAAAAAATATACTCTTCTCTTTTTTATTGATAACCAATTTAATTTCTGTCGATAGGGAGTAATATGTTCATCTTGCTTTAAGCTGAAAATGTAACGAATTATGCTGTTTATTGCACGTTGCAATTTCAAGTCAGTATCAACATTGGAATCAACTAGTACCACAGAACAATAGTCTATGATAGGAAGTATTGTAGCAGTTACCAACAGTTTTCTAATTTCCTGAGTGAAAATATTTTTCCTAGCTTTCAGACAGTACAATGCTGAGTTGACTTTTTTAATAGTTTTCGAGACATGATTTTTCCATGACAAATTGTTACTAATAGTTACACCCAGACATTTCATAGAGTTTACATACGGCAATGCTACACCATCAACAATAATCGGAGGAAGGGAATCGGATTCAATTGCCCTCAATTTACCTACAGAGCCTAAGATCATTACAATCGTTTTATCTAAATTTAATTTCAAGCCATGTTCTCTTGTCCAGTTTGCAATTTTTTGGGCATCGACAGTTACAATTTTGATCGTTTCATGCAACTCAGAGAGAGCAAAGCTTCGATAGATATAATGATCATCTGCAAACAAACCGTGGGAGCAATAAGATATTCTTCTTACCACTAAATTCATTACAATAAGAAATAATATTGGTCCCAGCACAGATCCCTGCGGTACACCTGAGGATATGTCTAGGAAACCAGTCGGCACACCACAATCATCAATGACAGACTGAGAACGTTTGGTCAAGTAAGAAAAGAACCATGTAATGGTATCAATGGAGAAACCAAGTTCCACCATAGCAATTAGGATTATTTTCGGATCTACATAGTCAAAGGCTTTACTGAGATCAAACGAGACTAATAGAGTCAATTTGCCTTTATCCATGGCCTGTCTTATATCATCAGTTAATTTTAGGAGAGCTGTTTGTGTACTGTGATGTTTTCTAAAGCCCGACTGAGATTTATCTAATAGTTCATTGTCTTCTAAGTAGGTAACTATTTGATTTGCTACGATTCTCTCAAATACTTTGCTAAGATGACACAAATTTGCTATCGGTCTAGTCTCAGATGGTGATTTCGGGGGTGTGATTTTATTTAATGGAACAATATAAACCATTTTCCAAGGGTCAGGAAAAATACCAGTAATTAAAGATCTATTAAATAATGACGTGAGAAATAAAGTTAATTGAGGTAAGTGATCCTTTAACCAACCCAGACTCAATCCATCAGGACTTTTGCCTTTAGATTTTGATAAAGTTAGATGTAGAGCTTTAGTGACATCAACAATGTCAATCGGAGTCCAATTAAATGAGCATCTAACTTTACTAGTATAAAGTAACGGTAATGTGTCTAGGAATGATGTATCACATGGAGGATGTCGTCTCACAATATTAGCATAGAACTCATTTAACGCTGACGAATCAAAATAATTTAATGGCGAAGAAGGATTTGATTTTATTAAGCCCAACCGTTTTAATTTAATCCAGACTGTGTGTCCCGTAGGTAAATTTGTAAGCTCATTTTTTAGATAATTTTCACGTGCCATATTCAATTTAGATTTAAGTTCCTTTCTTTTTAGTTTGAAAAGCTTTAGCAAATTCGAATCACCGCTCCTCTTTGCTCGTTTGTATATTGCATCACGTTCGCGACATTTTTCTTTTAATTCATTCGTAATCCAGGTATTTGAATTTCTAGTGATTTTACGTGTGACTATGGGAGCATAGACATCGAGAGTATCTAGAACATTTTTTAAGAAATACTCAAGAAGCTCATTAGGATCGGAGTTATTGATAAAATCATCACTACATTTTAAAATCTTTGTAAGAGCATTTGAAAGTGAGATATGATCGCAATTTTTGAAATTTCTAAAAGTTATCAATTTATCGGTCGATTTAGGAGGATTTAATAGATATTCGCAATATAGATAGTCATGACCTGCAATAAATGGTGCATCTGACTTAAAAAACCTACCTATATTACCTATATTACATCTAGCCATGAGTCGTGATTTCTAGTATGATGGGTAGTTTCAAAAGGGACACAGAATAGTGAGGACTCGTAAATGAATGTTTTGAACTCAAATTTGTATCTAATAGGTTATAATTTAGGTCACCAGCGATAACTGAATTTTTGAAATGAGGGGAAAATTGCGAAAGTACGTTTATATAGTTACAGAGAGTATGTCCATTAGGTCTGCGATAGACGCACGAGAGCAAAAGGTGAGAACCAGTTGTCATTGTGATATCTAAAATCATAAACTCAGGTGAATTTATGTCTTCTGCAGTGGAAGTGTGCAGGACTTTAACCTTCAACGAATTATGAATAAAGCAAGCCACGCCACCCCCTTGCATGAAACGACCTGATTCTGCATGCACCAAATTACGATCTCTTCTAAAAATTCTATACCCATCAATTTCAAAAATACTATTATCAATGTCAGGTTTTAACCACGTTTCTACCATAATGATAATAAATGGTTTTATATTACTTATTAATTCTACCAATTGTCCTAAATGACCTAACAGACTATTTACATTCAGACTTAAAATTGATAATCCTTTGGTATCTTTTCCTTTAGTTAAATCTACTGTATATTAAATTAATTTATTAAGATCAGATTCATTTTTTACTATAATTTTATCGGTGGTATCATCTTTTTTAACAAAGATGGTACCATTTCGAACCCATACATATTTATACTTAAAGTCTCTAGCTCTAGTTTTTGTTTTTAATAAAAGTTTATAAATTTCCGAATTTAAATATTCGTTTATATAGATAAGGCCTCTATAGGTAATCAGTATCACTGATCAATGATCAGGTAATCAGTATCACTGATCAATGATCAGTATTAGTAACAGTGAAAATTAATCAGTATCTGTTATTATTAATAACTTATTAATAATTAAGTAATCATCAGTGAATACTAAACGAATTCAGTAACTACTGATCAGTGATAACTAACAACATTATAATTAAGTTATCAATTTTTTTTACAACGACAAAAATTTAAGACCAGAATAAATCTTAATTTTATTTTATAAAAAAATTAATAACTTTCCACAGTAAATTTTAGTCAGTTAATAGCAACACCTTCGACTTTAAAAACAAAGTAATTAACTGCATTAATGACTGACGCATTCAATTAACCAATTAATTAATAAAGCGTGGTAATTTCAAGTGTATTTTTAATTTTAATGCTCGTCTTTTTGCGATTGAATTTTTATTTTCAAAATAGAACAATCATAAAATTTAAAATAATTTATGACATAAAAAAATAGTGTCAAAAAATAAAAAAATTTTTCAAATAAATCTGAAAAAAAAACTATCTAATTATTTTAAGTAAAAAACCCAGCTGACAATAAAGTGAGTTATCACTTATGAGTCATATCGGACTAATAATAATTTTTTTGTGATAGGAACATTAACGACCAAATGATAAAAAATTTATCTATTAATGTAATATTCTGACATTGTTTTTTAAGTAAAAAAAAATCAGTCTGATTTACATCATGCGGTTAAGCATACTGGTAAGTAGTACAAATAATTTTTCATCGTACTTATTTAATTAAATTATATTAAATGAATTATAATTTTCTAGATTTTGACAATAGCGATCATAAACTTGGGGCTTATAAACGCTCAAAGTCCCCGAAATGACCAATCATTTGCCTGGACAGGCGAGTACAACTTCCAAGTTCAAGCTGTGACTCCTTACGAAAATACCCAAAGATCCATCGAAGATCGCGTGAAAATTGATGCTGTCATTTCTGAACCGAAAATTCAGAATGTCCAAATGAGGCCTGTAACCGCACCGTAAGGCTTTAAAAACTTCAATTTGGAATATTGATATGAATAAACAAAATTACTATAAATAATTTTGAATGTTGCGTTTATTTTTCCAACTAAGAAATTTTAATTGGCTTAAACATATTTTACTTAAATCAAGAATTTTTTCTCTTAATTAATTCAAGTTTTATTTTTTTCCACGACTCAAAATGCGAAGCGTCAGAAAGTGCTTTACGATCGAAAAAATTTTTCGCCCTATTTCGGCATCTATTTTTATTATTATAGTCTTGTTAGTTCACGGAACCAATATATTTTGTATACTACTGTCAAGATAATTTAGCAGAAATTAATTTAACACTTTTCAAAAACTGATTTTGTGCAATGGAAATGGAAAAAAAATATATAAGTAGGTTAAAAAATTTTCCTGCCCGTCATGTATGAAACTTTGGAAACACTGTAACTTGCGAAAAAATGCATTAATTCAGTAAAATTTTTTCTTTCTAATTCTTTAAGAGAATTGTAGATCACCAAATGCGAATAGATAAGTAATTCAGTATCATTTATCCGAACAAAAACAGTTTCACTGTAAAAAAATCGCGCCAAGTTCACGTTCATAAGACTATTAAGAAAAAAAAATTTTATTTCTTTACAAAAAGATATAAAATTAAAAAATCCACGTAAACGATATGGTTGTATATGATTTTCGGAAGTTAAAAAAAATTTTGTTGTAAATTTAAAAATTGAAAGAAACAATTTTGGAAATACTTGGTGTGCGTCATATTGTGCATTTCAATTTTTTTAAAGTCCTAGTAAATAGATTTTACAAATTTAATTAAAAGTAAAATATTTTGCAACCACGCACACTAAATACGTTCCAAAAATTTTTTTTTAATTTTTAAATTTACAACAAAATTTTTTCTAATTTCGGAAAATCATATACAATCATATCGGTTACTCGGATTTTTTAATTTTTTTATTTTATATCTTTTTATAAAGAAAAAAAC